ATCTCCAATTGCATGCTGTGCTGGCCTAAAACTGGGCGTGATGGCACACACCTGTAATCCCAGTGCTGAGGAGGCTGAGACAGGAGGATCGCTAAGAGTCTGAACTGCATACTGAGACCCTGTATTGAATGAATGAATGAATGAATGAATGAATGAAAATTTTAAAAAAGAGAAAACCTTAAGAACAAAAAAATTTGTTGAAGTAGCATGTGAGGTGTTAGATACAGTATGCAACACATCACTGTTTGAGGTGGAGTAATTGAGATTAACTCAGATTTAAAACTTCATTCTAAAGCCAAACATGGTGGTACATCCCTGTAATCCCAGGATTTGGGAGGCTGAGTCAGAAGAATCCTTGTGAGTTCTATACCAGCCTGGGCTACAAAGTAAGCTCAAGGCCAACTTCATAGTGAAACCCTTTTTTTTTTTTATTTTGGTGGAACCGGGGATTGAACTCAGGCCCTTGTGCTTGCCAGGCAAGTGCTTATTCTACTGAGCCATCTCCCCGGCTGTGAAACCCTGTCTTAAAAAGACAAAAGATAGAGTAAGATAAAATAAGACTTCATTCTAGATTTGTATTATATCAAGTAGTGGCTAGAAGTAAGACTTTAAAGATGACATGCTGGGGCCAGGGATACAGCTCAATGGCATAAGCACCTGCCTGGCAGGCACAAGGTCCCAAATTCAATCCCTAGTACTGGGGGGGAAAAAGATATGCTGATGGGCTGGCTTACCATTAGGGAGCCAAACAGCTAGCTGTGCATTCTTGGAATTTATAATCCAACAAACATTTGCAAAACATTAATGTATTTTGGTTGTTACAGGGTCTCACTATGCAGCTCAGACTTTTGGTGGTGGTTACAGGGTCTTACTACACAGCTTGGACTTGTGGTGATCCTCCTGCTTTAAGCCTCCCCAGCTCTGGGATTAGAGGCATACGCCACCACGCCTGCCTGGACTCTGGCCCAAACCCTGCTTGCCTAAGCAGGCACTTTAGTCCGCTGAGCTATCTCATGGGCCCCCATGCTATTTATTATTTTTTTATTTTTTTTTTAAATTTTATTGAGAAACAAATAGCAATGAGACAGTTTCAAAACCAATTAGTAGGACACTTT